TCTCTGGAGTGCATACAACCTGGTGCGTGTTCGTGAAGGGGATGAGTGGAAGACAGCATTCAGCACAACCACGGGGCATTTTGAATACCTGGTGATGCCCTACGTTTTGATGAATGCTCCATCCGTCTTCCAGTCCATTGTGAACAAGGTGTTTCGGGACATGCTTGGTCGTGGTGTGGTGGTCTACATCGATGACATCCTGGTGTATTCCGCTACTCGCGCCGAGCATGTGTCCCTGGTTTGCAAAGTGCTGGCCCGACTGTTGGAAAATGACCTTCATGCCAAGGCAGAGAAGTGTATGTTTTTCCAGCAGGCCGTCTCCTTCCTCGGATACCGCATATACCACCTCAGGTGTGGAGATGGAGGGAGATCGCATTTCAGACGTACGTAATTGGCCAACTCAAACCACGGTTAAGGAGGTGTAGCGCTTCCTTGGCTTTGCCAACTACTATCAGAGGTTTATCCAGGGCTTTGGCAAGGTTGCAGCTCCCATTACATCCCTGTTGAAGGGTGGGCCGTCCCAGCTCCGCTGGTCTGCTGAGGCTGACCTGGCCTTCAGGAGACTGCAGGGTCTGTTCACCTCAGCACCAGTACTGGCCCACCCCGATCCATCACTACCATTCATAGTGGAGGTGGATGCGTCCGAGGTAGGGATAGGCGCGGTCCTGTCCCAACGCTCGGGCACGCCACCCAAGCTCCACCGCTGTGCCTTCTTCTCTAAGAAGCTCAACCCGGCGGAGCAGAACTATGACGTTGGTGATCGGGAGCTGTTGGCTGTTGTCCGAGCTTTGACCGTGTGGAGGCATTGGCTCGAAGGGGCGAAACACCCTTTCCTCGTCTGGACGGACCACCGTAACCTGGAGTACATCCGGGCAGCGAGGAGGCTGAATCCTCGCCAGGCCAGGTGGGCCCTATTCTTCACCCGGTTTGATTTTACACTGTCATACATTCCGGGTACGAAGAACGTCTCGGCTGTATGACACAGAGGAGAGGCCCAGAGACAACACCCCCATACTCCCGGCCTCCTGCATTGTGGCGCCGGTAGTGTGGTCGTCTGATCTTCTGGGCACACACGTCACCCTCCTCTGGTCACCCAGGTCGTCGTACAGTGCGCTGCTTGATCGGCAAGTACTGCTGGCCTACCTTGGCTAAGGATGTGAGGGTGTCTCCTCCTGCTTGGTGTGCGCCCAGAGTAAGGCACCTAGGCACCTCCCAGCGGGTAAGCTACAACCTTTACCAGTTCCACAACGACCATGGTCTCACCTTAGTATTGATTTTCTGACTGATCTTCCCCTCTCCCAAGGTAACACCACCATCCTGGTTGTTGTGGACCGCTTCTCCAAGTCCTGCCGCCTCCTTCCTCTGCCCGGTCTCCCCACGGCCCTGCAGACTGTGGAGGCCCTGTTTACTCACGTCTTCTGGCACTACGGGGTGCCAGAGGATATAGTGTCCGACCAAGGTCCCCAGTTCACGTCCAAGGTTTGGAAGGCGTTCATGGACCATCTGGGGGTCTCGGTCAGCCTGACCTATGGGTTCAACCCCAAATAAAATGGGCAGGTGGAACGGGTAAATCAGGATGTGGGTAGGTTCCTGCGGTCCTACTGCCAGGACCGGCCGGGGGAGTGGTCAGTGTTCTTGCCATGGGCAGAATTTGCCCAGAACTCTCTCCGCCACTCCTCTACTAACCTAACACCATTCCAATGTGTTTTAGGTTACCAACCGGTTCTGGCACCGTGGCACCAGAGCCAGACCGAGGCTCCTGCGGTGGATGACTGGTTTTGGCGCGCGGAGGAGTTCACCTCCAGCGCGCCGTGCATCATCAGAAGGCCAACGCTGACCGTCACCGCATTGAGGCCCCGGTCTTTGTACCGGGGAGCCGGTCTGGCTCTCGACCCGGAATCTGCCGCTCCGCCTGCTGGAAGCTGAGCCCGCGGTTTGTGGGGCCGATCAAAGTCCCGAGGAGAATCAACGAGGTCACGTATCGTTTATTACTTCCCCGATTACCGTATTAACCCCTAATTTCATGTGTCTCTCCTCAGGCCGGTGGTGGTTGGTCCACTCCAGGAGTCTGAGGTGCGGGAGGTTCCTCCACCTCCTCTGGACATCGAGGGGGCCCCGGCGTACTCTGTCCGTTCCATCCTGGATTCGAGGCGTCGGGTGGGGGGCCTTCAGTACCTCATGGAGTGGGAAGGGTACGGTCCGGAGGAACGGTGCTGGGTCCCGGTGAGGTATATCCTCGATCCCTCCCTGTTGCGGGATTTCCAGCGTCATCCGGCTCGCCCTGCTCCGCGTCCTCCTGGCCGTCCCCGAGGCTGGGGTCGGTGCGCTGCTGGAGCTGTCACGACTTCGGCCGAGGCTGCCTCTCCTCCTTGGTCGGGCAGGCTTCGGCGTTCGTCGTTACCGGCTTACTAACCACTGCCGCCCCAATCATCATCACAATTGTCTTGTCTTGTCAATCACACACACCTGGTTCCTATCCCCTAATAGTCTGTGTATAAGTGTTCCCTCTACCCGCTGTGCATATGTATTATTGGATATCCGTTACAGTGTATTTGCCAGGGATGATTGTTTCCCCTGTGCCTGTTTCGTTGATCGCTATTTGAGCGCATTTGTGTGTCTACGAAGGAATAAACTCTGTATTCGGTGATTACCCTCCTGCGCCTGACTCCTTTCCATCACACTCATCACAAGATGAAGACTCTCTTGGTAGATAGTGTGGTCTACAGCTTATCATGAGGTACTCTACCTCAGGCTAGCAATATCTCGAGACTACCTTAATATTAGACATCGCGCACCAGCTGTTATTGACACATAGACACACACCCCCACCCTTCGTCTTACCGGATGTAGCTGTTCTGTCTCTTGCCGATACACGGAAACCCAGCCAACTGTGTGTTATCCGTGTCGTAGTTCAGCCACGACTCGGTGAAACATAAGATATTACAGTTTTTAATGTCCTGTTGGTAAGATAGTCTCGAACGGAGCTCATCCAGTTTAGTCTCCAGTGATTGTACGTTGGCTAATAGAACAGATGGTAGAGGCGGGTTACCCACTCGCCGACAAATTCTCACAAGGCACCCTGATCTCCGCCCCCTGTATTTACTTATTTTCTTAATGCGAAAAACTGGGATTTGGGCCTTGTCTGGGATCAACATTATATCCTTCGCGTCCGACTCATTAAAGAAAAAATATTTGTCCAGTTCGAGGTGAGTAATCGCTGTTCTGATATCCAGAAGAGACAGTAGCATCAACATTATGAACAAAATAAGTTACAAACAATGCGAAAAAACACTCAAATTAGCAGAATTGGTTAGGAGCCCGTAAAACGGCAGCCATCCCCTCCGGTGCCATTATTCCATGTAAAAAGTGTGTGGGAGACAGACAGACAGTGCTGTGAGACATTATCACCTGGTTACATATCCTTTACGTCTTCTTCGATAATAATAATAATAGTAATAAATAATAATAATTTAGAAAATATATGAATAGTGATCATAACTTTATTCATAAACTACTTTTCACACATTGCGCTTGGAACTACATAGAAGAAGAAGAAGAAGAAGACGAAGAAGAAGAAGAAGAAGAAGAAGAAGAAGAAGAAGAAGAAGAAGAAGAAGAAGAAGAAGAAGAAGAAACAGAGCAAAATCAGTCATGGCAAATTATACTTACTGTATATGATTTGAACAGAAATAAATTGTAATCGCAACTTTTGTTAATTAACTTTTTTTCTTCAAAGTATTTTATGTCATAAATATTTACCTAAGTATATTATTATTTTTCTTTTCAAAACTAAGCCATGTAAAGGTACAGTTTTTTTCTTAGAGTAAGAGAAAGCTAAGAGAGAAACACTGTGTGTGTGTGTGTGTGTGTGTGTGTGTGTGTGTGTGTGTGTGTGTGTGTGTGTCTGCGTGTGTGTGTCTGTACGTGAGTGCGTGCATGTGTGTGTGTGTGTGTGTTTAAATGCAGCCACGTGTGTATGTGTTAGAGGATTAACTCCTTGCGCCCTCCAGGTCTATGCATTCCTGTGCTCTATATGCCGCTATAGTTTACAGGCCCAGCGCACTAACAGAGGGGGAAAGTGCCATTGTCAGGGCTTTCCATTGACAGTAAAGTGCTTACAGGCAGCAAGGGAGGGGGGGGGATTCTGGGTGATGCGATGACCCGGGGTGCTTTGGTCCAGACCAACTCTGATGACGCTTGTGCTTCTATTGTCCTGCGAGCCACTGCGTTCGGCCCTTGCCAGGGTATAAAAGCTAGGCCTCTGCACTGAGGGGGCCAGCACGAGCCAACCTACCCCACACGGCACTACAAGCTGTACACGCAGGTAAGGACACACCCCACCCACACACACAATCCACTGCGGCAAACAGCACACAGGGGCCCACTCCTCTCAGCCTACAATGCCCGGGTGTGTCACCCTCGGGCGGGGCAGAGCCCCTAACAGAGGCCCAGGCCTCAGGGCCTACATGAAGCACTCAGACCCCAGGCTGGATTGCTACATTGGATGGTTATTTTCTCCTTGATGATTCTTATCCATCCTATGGAAGTGTGTGGCCCCCGTGTCCTGCCTCAGTTATTTACACAAATAAAATAGTAACACATTCACTCTGTAGTGAAAACATAGATGCCACACATTTACCTGATTGTGTTTTGACCTTTTTTAAATGTATTTCTCCCTGTCCCTCTTTTTCTCAATCTATCTCTCTACCTCCCCCTCCATTCTCTCTTTCCCTCTCTTTACTTGCATCTCCATTCTCCTCACTCTCCCTCTTTCCGTCATCCTCTCTTTTACTGTCTCTGCCTGCTCCACACTCTCTTTCCTCTGACATCCCTCTCCTAACCCTGTCCTCTCTCTCCAATCCCTCCATCCTCTCCTTGCCCCCTCTCTTCCCACACTCTTCTCTCCATTCCCTCCCTCCATTCTCCCTCCCTCTACCCCTTCTCCCTCCATACTTTCCATCTCCCTCCCGCTCTCTGTCAGAATCTCCTGATCTCTCACCATGTCTCAGACTGCCAAGTCCGCCTCCAGCCAGGGCACTGATGCCAAGGACAAGGGAGCCCCTGCCCCCGCTGCCACCAGCAAGGCCACCAAGACCGGAGAACCTGGCATGGGAAACTTCAGAGTGAGTCACCACATCTTCATTATATATAGACACAGCCCACTTGGCACAGGAGCTGGATTCAAATTGTAATGTCCACCCATTGTGTGGGAGCAGCAAACAGTCTAAAGCTAGCCATTTGCCTTTATTTGAGCAGGGTTAATTGACTATGGATAGAGCATTATACAGGAGGTTTGTTGTGATTGGAAACATTACTACTCATTCAGTGGATCTTAAGATGACCCCAGACATCTTACAGCCTTCACATCAGTACAGGTGTCTTTGGGTTTAGTGGAAGGAAGCTCCTGTACAGGTAGTCAGAGCCATAATAACAACTGTGGAGCTTTATAACTGATTGATAGACTGAGTTACTGTAGTTACCAGCCCCAACTGTAAAGGGCTCTGAGACCTACAGTAGTTACATACCTGCAGTAGTAAAATACCCCATATTCGTTCTAATTTGATGGTAAAATGGCCAATATAGAATACAATATTTGTGGAAGAAGGACAGTGTCTCACCCTTGACCTCTCCCGTTGATGATGTCATCTAACCTCTGACCCCTGCAGATCATGCTGTTCGACCAGGAGAACTTCCAGGGCAGAATGATGGAGATCCAGAATGAGTGCATGAACGTGTGTGACCGCGGCATGGACAGAGTGCGCAGTATCATCGTTGAGTGCGGCCCGTAAGTGGACACATACACCTACAGGGCAAGATCACACACACACCTATAGGGCATGGTTACACAATCAGTAAGCTCCTCTACTTCTAGTCCAAAACCCAGGAACACTCGTAACATCTGAGCCCAAACACTGATCTTATACTTTTTCACAGCTCTTCACACTCATTTCATCCCGCCTTCTAATCCCTCTCTCCCCCCTTTCCCCCTTGTGCCCCCCCTGTCCCTGGTGGCCCCCCCTCTCCAGCTTTGTTGCCTATGAGCAGACTAACTTCCGTGGGGAGATGTTCATCTTGGAGAAGGGAGAGTACCCTCGCTGGGATACCTGGAGCAACTCTTACCGTAGCGACTGCCTCATGTCCCTCAGGCCCATCCGCATGGTGAGGAACACACACATTCCAAACACACACAAACTCACACGTTCTCATACACACATAGACTCATGCCAAACACACACACACAAACACACTCTCACATTTTCATGCACACACACACTCACATTTTCATACACACACACACACACACACACACACACGCACACACAGTTTGCTAAAGCAAAAACGTTTGGTGACAAGGGCTAATACAGTAGCTAGTGAAAATACCCTCCAACACTGTGCCCTGACATTCTCTCTCCCTCCTTCCCTCTCTAGGACAGCATGGAGCACAAGATCTGTCTGTTTGAGCTCTCCGACTTCAAGGGCAATAAGATGGAGATCCAGGAGGATGACGTGCCCACCCTCTGGGCGCACGGCTTCACTGACAGAGTGGGCAGCGTGAGGGTGCCCGGCGGAGTGTGAGTACACACACCACATTTCTATTTTTATGGATCACAGCAGAATGGCTACTCTGCTGCTGAGAACCTGGTTAAATAAACTGAAAAATCATCAGCTATATCAGTGATAAAGCTCATATCTGCAGGATAAGCTAGAAATAGAATAGTAATAGATTATTAGCAGTATAGTGACATATGGCCCAGAGCCTGAGGCAGAGCTGCAGGTCCCTTGCCTTGTGCCTACAACATGAGGCTATAAAGGGAAGTATTCAGGCAGTCATGGGGAGGAGGACTGGGTCGTATTTGTGTGTCATAAAATGTCAAAGGTACATTTATAACTGTAGCACACTAAGTGGAAACACATAACTCCATTATATGACTTCTATTTAATCTAAAAACAGCCTAAAAATACTATAAATTTAAATGTACTGTAACTAAACTAAACTGACCCTCTTTCTCTCCTCTCCTCCTCTCTCCAGGTGGGTGGGTTACCAGTACCCCGGATACAGAGGCTACCAGTACCTGTTTGAGTGTGGTGACTACAGACACTACAATGAGTTCTGTGCCTTCCAGCCCCAGATCCAGTCCATGCGTCGCGTCAGGGACATGCAGTTCCACCAGCGTGGTTGCTTCAACCTCACTTCCGCCAGCAAGTGAGCGAACTCTGGTGGACGCAAGCTGTAACTGCAGCCAGCCAGCCAGCCCTCCCTCACTCAACCCGCCCAACCGGCGCTTTTTATTTCTCCAACCTTATCCCTCCTTTCCTTCCCTTCACCCACCCTCATCCCTCCATCCTAAAGGGATATAATGACCGCATCGTACCAACTGGAACAACCTAAATGACTTTTTATGATGCCAAATAATAAACATGTTTTGAAAAACCTGAACTCCTTTTGCCTGGACTACTTTCATTCAGAGCCGGTGGCAACATTTTTAGCACAGCATTTTTCATTATTCACTGTTTATTTCACTCTCTTCCCTTATGTCGGTCTGACTGCATTCTCCCTATTTCTCTGTCTTTCTCTGTCTCTCCCTCCTTCACTCTCTCTCTCTCTCTCTCTCTCTCTCTTCCTTCTGTCCTTCTCCTCTCCATCTGTCCTGTTGGACTGAGAAAGGACCATCTGATTAGTGAGGGGTTAAAGGTTGAACACAGCCCCTCTCACCCACTGACAGACAGCACAGCCCCACTGTCTCTAAGCTGTAGATTGAACAGTGGAAATGATTATTACCTAACCATGTGGATGCATGTAGATAAAGCTTGTATAAGGTTATTCAATAGGACCTTGAAATGTGTTTCCTATCTAGAGCTATAAAGAAGGAGTTACGGTCACTGAAGGGTTATATAGCTTACTCCAATCATGTTCAGTTTATGACAAAACACAAAAGTATACAATTATGTGTGATTTCAGATTTCCATCTTTGAGTTTTGGCCAATAGTCCCATAAAATGTACACATAATAAATCATCATTAAAATAGGAAAATTATTAAATGAGCTCATTTTAGGCTTCAACAGAGCATTCCTTTGTTTTAACATAGGCCAGTTCTGCACATAAGGCTGCCGCTATACTGACGTAAATATGTAGCTAAACAAGGTTGTTAAGAAATGTTGACTACATAACCAGAACAAAAATATCAGACGTCACTCGAACTATGTCACGTGGGTTGATAGCTATGCCAGCTGTCTGGTTTCATGCAGCAAGTCGAGCATAAACAAGATGGCAGCACTTTTCAAAGCTAGAAAAGGTCAGTATACAATAAATACACAAACTATTGACATGTGCTCCTTTGTCTCTCAAATACAAAGGGATGTTTTACTTGCTTTGTTTGTTGATCCTTCGACAATGAATAGACTTAGGAAAGTCATGTGCCGGGGTGCTAGCAAGCTTGCTACAGTACTCGGCTAGTTGCTTATGCTAGTATTTGGTAATGAGCTAGCTAGTTAGCTAAAGACCAATGCTAAGTAACGACAGCTAGCTGCATATCGAGTGTATAGGTGGCTTCTTAGCTAGCTAACAACCCCCAGAAACAATTGACAATTTGTATGCATTACTAGAATGCTGTATTTGCAATGGCAGTAAATTAAACTTACTGAGTCTGGCTTTAGTTGAGCTAATAATAACATTCGAGGCATTTGAACTTGAATGGGGTTAAGTGGGACTCCAGTCAGCTAACGTTTAGTAACCATTGTTTACCATTCACAGTAACCCTGTTTGTGTGGTTATCTATGTAATACACAGATTATAGCGAATTTATTCGCATTTCAAGGTGTCTGGTTTTAACGTTGTCAACCCACGTATTTTCTCGGGCACGCACGCTCTCACTGGGACAAAGGTTACTAGCGAGAGGACGGAGGGTGACCTTAAACCTACACTGAATAAAAATATAAACGCAACATGTAAAGTGTTGGTTTCATCAGCTGAAATAAAAGATCCCCAAATTTTCCATAAGCACAAAAAGCTTATTTCTCTCAAATGTTGTGTACAAATTTGTTTCCATCCCTGTTAGTGAGCATTTCTCCTTTGCCAAGATAATCCATCCACCTGACAGGTGTGGCATATCAAGAAGCTGATTAAACAGTATAATCATTACACAGGTGCACCTTGTGCTGGGGACAATAAAAGGCCATTCTAAAATGTGCAGTTTTGTCACACAACACAATATCACAGATGTCTCAAGTTTTGAGGGAGCGCGCAATTGGCATGCTGACTGCAGGAATGTCCAACAGAGCTGTTGCCAGAAAATGTAATGTTCATTTCTCTACCATAAGCCACCTCCAATGTCGTTTTAGAGAATTTGGCAGTAGGTCCAACTGACCTCACAACCGCAGACCATGTGTATGGCGTCGTATGGGCGAGCGGTTTGCTGATGTCAACGTTGGGAACAGCGTGCCTCCCATTGTGGCAGTGGGGTTATGGTATGGGTAGGCATAAGCTACAAACCATGAACACAATTGCATTTTATCAATGGCAATTTGAATGCACAGAGATAACGTGATGAGATCCTGAGGCCCATTGTCGTGCCATTCATCCGCCGCCATCACCTCATGTTTCAGCATGATAATGCACAGCCCCATGTCTGTACACAATTCCTGGAAGCTGAAAATGTCCATTTTTCCATGGCCTGTATACTCACCAGACATGATATCTATTGAGCATGTTTGGGATGCTCTGGATAGACGTGTACGACAGCGTGTTCCAGTTTCCGCCAATTTCCAGCAACTTCGCACAGCCATTGAAGAGTAGTGGAACAATATTCCACAGGCCACAATCAACAGCCTGATCAACTCTATGCAAATGAGATGTGTCGCGCTGCATGAGGCAAATGGTGGTCACACCCCTACCTTTTTTTAAAGGTATCTGTGACCAACAGATGTATATCTGTATTCCCAGTAATCTGAAATCCATAGATTAGGGCCTAATACATTTATTTCAATTGACTGATTTCCTTATATGAGTTGTAACTCAGTAAAATCTTTGAAAAACTGTTGCATGCTGTGTTTATATTCTTGTTCAGTATAGTTAACAGCCGACCAATATAAATCGATATAACCAGCTATCACGATTATTATTGTGATCATTTACATCTTGTTGAATATTTTTCACCCTTGAGGGAATTTGTAAAGGTAAATGACTATTCAGTAGCAAATTACTAATCTTTTTAGTTTACAAGTCACATAGCCTACCTACACCCAGGGCCTCTATCATCATTATTGGGTAATCTTCATGTCCAGTCTCCAACCTTTACCCCAGAGGCAGGGGGTTGTCAGTGTGGTGAGAATTAGCTAGCCAGTTATCTATTGTGGAGGAGGTACTGTGTGTGTGTGTGCGTGCTAGGGACGTCACAGGGACCCGAATGTTTTTGGGTCAGCCCCAATTCTTTTTGCGCTGCTGCGATGGTGTTTATTTTTTTTGTCAACTGAATTCGCCGCTTTGTTCATAGAGCTGTGGTTAAGTGAAACTCCCGAAGTCATCCAACCGTTATAATCAGGGGTGTAGTGCTGCCGGAGTGGAGCGATGCTTCTCAGAATGGTACTTTTTCGCAAGATCACTTTATGATTAATTAGTATTCTACATAACAACCCTAATATAATAGCATAGATAATGTTAGGCTACTATTATACCAAAAACTTAGGCTACATCATTCAAGAAGATCAAAATGTATATTCCCATGAAACTGATTGGGATCAAATTGTTGGCATGCATTCAGCATGGATATTTCACCTGTAAAACGTGAATAATTATCATTCACGATTGAGAGTGATGATGGCCTAATTTATAATAAGGTAGGCCTAATTTGGTATTTTAGGATTTAAAAAATAGAACAACTTAATTGAGCCACATACAGTTGAAGTCGGAAGTTTACATACACTTAGTTTGGAGTCATTAAAACTTGTTTTTCAACCACTCCACAAATGTCTTGTTAACAAACTATAGTTTTGGCAAGTCGGTTAGGACATCTACCTTGTGCATGACACAAGTAATTTTTCCAACAATTGTTTACAGACAGATTATTTCACTTATAATTCACTGTATCACAATTCCAGTGGGTCAGAAGTTTACATACACTAAGTTGACTGTGCCTTTAAACAGCTTGGAAAATTCCAGAAAAGTATGTATTGGCTTTAGAAGCTTCTGATAGGCTAATTGACATCAATTGAGTCAATTGGAGGTTTACTTGTGGATGTATTTCAAGGCTTACCATTCAAACTCAGTGCCTCTTTGCTTGACATCATGGGAAAATCAAAAGAAATCAGCTATGACCTCAGAAAAACTTTTGTAGACCTCCACAAGTCTGGTTCATCCTTGGGAGCAATTTCCAAATGCCTGAAGGTACCACGTTCATCTGTACAAACAATAGTACACAAGTATAAACACCATGGAACCACACAGCCGTCATACCGCTCAGGGAGGAGACGCGTTCTGTCTCCTAGAGATGAATGTACTTTGGTGCGAAAAGTGCAAATCAATCCCAGAACAACAGCAAAGGACCTTGTGAAGATGCTGGAGGAAACAGGTACAAAAGTATCTATATCCACAGTAAAACGAGTCCTATATCGACATAACCTGAAAGGCCGCTCAGCAAGGAAGAAGCCACTGCTCCAAAACCGCCATAAAAAGCCAGACTACGGTTTGCAACTGCACCTGGGGACAAAGATCGTACTTTCTGGAGAAATGTCCTCTGGTCTGATGAAAGAAAAATAGAACTGTTTGGCCATAATGACCATCGTTAAGTTTGGAGGAAAAAGGGGGTTGTTTGCAAGCCGAAGAACACCATCCCAACCGTGAAGCACAGGAGGTGGCAGCATCATGCTGTGGGGGTGCTTTGCTGCAGGAGGGACTGGTGCACTTCACAAAATAGATGGCATCATGAGGAAGGAAAATTATGTGGATATATTGAAGCAACATCTCAAGACATCAGTCAGGAAGTGGACAATGACCCCAAGCATACTTCCAAAGTTGTGGCAAAATGGCTGAAGGACAACAAAGTCATGGTATTGGAGTGGCCATCACAAAGCCCTGACCTCAATCCTATAGAAAATTTGTGGGCAGAACTGAAAAAGCATGTGCGAGCAAGGAGGCCTACAAACCTGACTCAGTTACACCAGCTCTATCAGGAGGAATGGGCCAAAATTCACCCAACTTATTGTGGGAAGCTTGTGGAAGGCTAACTGAAACGTTTGACCCAAGTTAAACAATTTAAAGGCAATGCTACCAAATACTAATTGAGTGTATATAAACTTCTGACCCACTGTGAATGTGATTTAAATAAATAAAAGCTGAAATAAATCCTTCTCTCTACTATTTTTCTGACATTTCACATTCTTAAAATAAAGTGGTGATCCTAACTGACAGGGAATATTTACTATGATTAAATGTCAGGAATTGTGAAAAACTGAGATTAAATGTATTTGGCTAAGGTGTATGTAAACCTCCGACTTCAACTGTATATTTAAGTTTTTTATTTTTAATACATTTGCAAAAATGTCTAAACCAGTTTTTGCTTTGTCATTATGGGGTATTGTGTGTAGATTGAGGAAACAAATTAATTGAATCCATTTTAGAATAAGGCTGTAACGTAACAAAATGTGGAAAAAATGTGGTTCTCTGTAGCTCAGCTGGTAGAGCACGGCACTTGTAACGCCAAGGTAGTGGGTTCGATCCCCGGGACCACCCATACACAAAAATGTATGCACGCATGACTGTAAGTCGCTTTGGATAAAAGCGTCTGCTAATTGGCATATTATTATTATTATTATTATTATTATTATTATTATTATTATTATTATAAAAAGGGAAGTGGTCTGAATACTTCCCGAATGCACTCTAGCGCTAGTGAACAGCAAACCTGGTTTCAAAAAACAAATAAAGCAACACCTCACGGCACAACGCCTCTCCCCATGTGACCTACTTGTTGTGTGTATGTACTGACATGTACTGTATGTGTAACTGATAGATGTACACGCACACATTACATATTTAATATTTTTAAATGTATGTAAACTGTAAAGTATTTTGTCTGTAATGTATTTTTCGTTATATGTCGGACCCCAGTAAGACTAACTGTGGCCGTCGGCTAATAGGGATCCTAATAAATCAAATTGTAGTCCTAAGATCTCTGTATCCACTCTTTTCATTGGCCTATGCTATTGGTTACATTTAAGACATGGGTTGTTCGTTTTATTGATCTCTGTATGTCAATGTCAGAGTAACTTTTAATTTAGGTAATTTGTGTGGTATGTAAAAATATACACTGCTCAAAAAAATAAAGGGAACACTAAAATAACACATCCTAGATCTGAATGAATGAAATAATCTTATTAAATACTTTTTTCTTTACATAGTTGAATGTGCTGACAACAAAATCACACAAAAATTATCAATAGAAATCAAATGTATCAACCCATGGAGGTCTGGATTTGGAGTCGCCCTCAAAATTAAAGTGGAAAACCACACTACAGGCTGATCCAACTTTGATGTAATGTCCTTAAAACAAGTCAAAATGAGGCTCAGTAGTGTGTGTGGCCTCCACGTGCCTGTATGACCTCCCTACAACGCCTGGGCATGCTCCTGATGAGGTGGCGGTGGTCTCCTGAGGGATCTCCTCCCAGACCTGGACTAAAGCATCCGCCAACTCCTGGACAGTCTGTGGTGCAACGTGGCGTTGGTGGATGGAGCGAGACATGATGGCCCAGATGTGCTCAATTGGATTCAGGTCTGGGGAACGGGCGGGCCAGTCCATAGCATCAATGCCTTCCTCTTGCAGGAACTGCTGACGCACTCCAGCCACATGAGGTCTAGCATTGTCTTGCATTAGGAGGAACCCAGGGCCAACCGCACCAGCATATGGTCTCACAAGGGGTCTGAGGATCTCATCTCGGTACCTAATGGCAGTCAGGCTACCTCTGGCGAGCACATGGAGGGCTGTGCGGCCCCCCCAAAGAAATGCCACCCCACACCATGACTGATCCACCGCCAAACCGGTCATGCTGGAGGATGTTGCAGGCAGCAGAACGTTCTCCACGGATCTCCAGACTCTGTCACGTCTGTCACATGTGCTCAGTGTGAACCTGCTTTCATCTGTGAAGAGCACAGGGCGCCAGTGGCTAATTTGCCAATCTTGGTGTTCTCTGGCAAATGCCAAACGTCCTGCACGGTGTTGGGCTGTAAGCACAACTCCCACCTGTGGACGGCGGGCCCTCATACCACCCTCATGGAGTCTGTTTCTGACCGTTTGAGCAGACACATGCACATTTGTGGCCTGCTGGAGGTCATTTTGCAGGGCTCTGGCAGTGCTCCTCCTGCTCCTCCTTGCACAAAGGCGGAGGTAGCAGTCCTGCTGCTGGGTTGTTGCCCTCCTACGGCCTCCTCCACGTCTCCTGATGTACTTGCCTGTCTCCTGGTAGCGCCTCCATGCTCTGGACACTACGCTGACAGACACAGCAAACCTTCTTGCCACAGCTCGCATTGATGTGCCATCCTGGATGAGCTGCACTACCTGAGCCACTTGTGTGGGTTGTAGACTCCGTCTCATCCTACCACTAGAGTGAAAGCACCGCCAGCCAATTTTTTTCTCGGACCCGCAAACCCCTAAGACCCTGTTCTTCAGGACTGATCCCCGAATGGTATGAAACTCTGGCGACGGCCCTGGTGTGTGTGTGTTTTGTGTTGGGTCTATTTACAATCATTGGTTGCCACACAGGGTCGACCTGGGCAGTTGTATTCATGTAACACTGATAACACTGTCTAACAATAGAGTTATGATGTTGTGAAACATGCTAGACATGAGCAGCTCTTAAAATACTAAAGCCTCTCTCTCTCTCACTCTCTCTCCCCCCCCCCCCCCCCCCCCCCCCCCCCATTTTCCAGCCCTGGGCATTTGTGTCAGTGGCTGTAGGTCTCTGTCCTCGCTAGCTGAGCTACCAGAGATGCACCAAATGATGAGACAAACCTGTAGAGACTACGCAGACCGAGAGCTGGCTCCTATTGCTGGCAAACTAGACAAGGAACACCTCTTCCCCGCCCAACAGGTACAGACACACATGTACTAGTGATGCGCGGTTAACTCATAACCCGCAGTCCCCCGCGGTTAGGGATGGACATGAGTTGGATGTCAAAACTCTATCTTTGACCAGAGATAAAAAAAGAAATAATAATCAAATCAAATTCTGTAAAAGTACTTGGTGGAATGTGCTTTGTGGCTTGTCGGACAACGTTCATTTGCTTTGACTCTAGTGTTCCATTTGTACATGTGCATTTGCAGGGCACAACAAAAAAGAAACCAAGACAAGCATCACACAGTTCTTCTCCCTAAATTCCCTTTCCCCTCCATATCTCTCGTACTCAATTGCGTTCCGACCGCTCCCTCTACACACGCGTGCTGAGTTCGCACACGAGCTCCTGTTGGCCTACAGAAATGCCTAGAAAAACGGTGGACATAAAAAATGCCTCTAACTGATGGGATACACAATCTACACTCCTTGCCAAATGACGACAGTTTTATCACAAATTCACAATGGACTGGTTGATTGAAGTAGGTAAATATGTGTTCCAACAATGAGCTGCAGTTTTGGAATAATTTCATCCCGTCGATTTTCCGCTTTGGCTACTTTGCGAACTGCTTGTGCCATTTAAATTTGGTTAGCCCAGGCTTTAACCCCCGTAAACATAGACAGGTTCCACACCTGAAAATATGCAAAAACATTTGTTTGATAAAGACAAAGAGCATATTTTCATCAGAATCATTAAGTTTAGGCCTACTCACCAAACAGATGTCGTCGCCGTAATTCATCACCATGCAGTGTTCAATGGGGAATTGTTAATCCGTTTAGAAAATTCCAAAGAACAGGCAGAATAAACTAAATCGAACTTCTGTAGGCCTATATCGAAAAGAAGAAACACTTTTTTTAGGGTTTCAAACCAAAGTCTATTTCAACGTGTCAAACTAAACCCTGTTTCAAATTATCACTCTGAGAATAACGGTTCCAGACGTGTATCACTTCACACTGGCAACTTTGTTCATTTTGAAAAATATGATTATATTATTATATGTTTTTTGTGTCTTGACTGATGAGGGCTCGGGAAATAAGAGCGTCTTGTCTGCTAAATTAACAAAACAAGGCTATGCCACTGCACAGCTATAGGCTTCTACAAGCAAGCGCCACTGCTGAGGTTAATGCCTTTTTGAAGATTGTGTTACACAATATAACCAGTTGATATTACGGTTTCAATAAATTAATCTTAAATGACTATTGTTTTTTATTGACTGAATATCTGAGGCATTTTAGCAATTAAGATTTGTTATGTGTAATGGTTGTGATAATATAGGCATTGTTGTGCTCTGTTGGCATGTACATACTATAAATGCGCACACCCTAACTCTCATGTTTCTAAAAAATATATGTTTTCTCCATTCCAAGTCAAAAAAAATGTAATGCTAGTACTCCCAACAGTCAAACGTCAAAAGCCCATCGCTACCCCCAGTTATATCCGCGGGAAGGTTGGGTTTAGGGCAGGTTGAATAAAGGGAAACCAATGCATTAAAAATGCATAATTCTTGTGCAATTCATATCTATCAGCTAAATTGAGGTTTTTCTTTCATTATTTGTATGTCATTAGTGCGTAAGCCTAAACTTCAGGGCCTGACTGTACAAGTGCCAAATACACGCCAATAGCCAAATGCTTTTTGGAACTTGGGCAGGGAAGCTCATCTGCCTGCTCGTCGTCCTCACCAGGGTCTTGACCTGACTGCAGTTCGGCGTCGTAACCAACTTCAGTGGGCAAATGCTCACCTTCGATGGCCACTGGCACGCTGGAGAAGTGTGCTCTTCACAGATGAATCCCGGTTTCAACTGTACCGGACAGATGGCAGACATCGTGTATGGTGTCGTGTGGGTGAGCGGTTTGCTGATGTCAACGTTGTGAACAGAGTGCCCCATGGTGGCGGTGGGGTTATGTTATGGGCAGGCATAAGCTACGGGCAACAAACACAATTGCATACTCACCAGACATGTCACCCATTGAGCATGTTTGGGATGCTCTGGATCGACATGTACGAAAGCATGTTCCAGTTCCTGCCAATATCCAGCAACTTCGCACAGCCATTGAAGAGGAGAGGGACAACATTCCACAGGCCACAATCAACAGCCTGATCAACTCTATGTAAAGGAGATGTGTCGCGCTGCATGAGGCAAATGGTGGTCACACCAGATACTGACTGGTATTCTGATCCACTCCCCTACTTTGTTTTTTAGGTGTCTGTGACCAACAGATGCATATCTATATTCCCAGTCATATGAAATCCATAGATTAGGGTCTAATGAATTTATTCCAATTGACTGTTTTTTTTATTTTTATATGAACTGTAACTCAGTAAAGTCTTAAATTGTTGCATGTTGCATTCATATTTATGTTCAGTGTATTAACTCCTGCAGAATGAAGCATTTTATGGCATTAATGATACACCAAATGTACATTTTGACTCCGGAACAAGAGTGGAGAAATATGATTGATTTATTTCAGCATCTTAAAGGTCATGACAGTCAAAATTATGTTTTGGATGAAACCAGATAAAAGTATGCTAACTAAAGTATGAAAAATTACTGTTGCTTCTACATTGATAAAGTTTGATCATAAAGTTACTGAGGTGGGATTATTAAGGGGATAGGGTGACATCACCCTAACTCATTTTAATACACCAATGGTAACATGACATTCTCTTACCTAATTTAAATAAGTAGTACCGCCTTGTAACCAACATCGGAGAAGGCGTATTTGGGGAGGTGCGTAGTTTATATAGCTAGGTAGCTACTCTACTGGTGCCAAAATGTGACTGTAGGGTGTCAGCAAATATAATTAGAAGTTTACACTTTATCTATGGCAGAGATACTTATGTCTCCTCTTTCACCTGTGTCTGGTGTTAGCTAGTTACTGGCTAGCTAGGTCTTCAGCCAGCGTTGAACAAAGGGGGGGAAGGGTCGTTCAAAACTGGGACACATCTGTCAGTGCTCCTGTGAACTGCATCATAAGAGACATGCCAAACGGGAGATGTATAAAAGAAAAAGTGACATCATTGATGCAATTTCAATGTTGTTTGAGTTGCTTTGTGTGTCACCAAATTGAGATGATTTTACTGCAACACTGCTCATTGCATCCAAGTTTTTTGACATAGGCGTTTCAAAGAGCTGTCAGTCAAGGCGAGCTTATGAATATAAGCTTCCTGCTCACTCAGCCTGTCTTTTCAAACTTCCTTGTAGTTAGCCATGAAAGAAAGTACTTTTTCTAAATGTTAAGCATTTTCTATCCCCCCAAAATATTATGGGTGATATTTTAGTCACTCGAAAGGATATTTTACATGGGAATCGGAATGACTGTTCTGGACCTTTAAAAAAAAATATGAATGCGTGATTAGGGAACGTCTGTAAAGGTGCTATCTTTATCAGAATCATAAAAGCTGATAGTATTTCAACCACAAAGTATGCATGCATCCAAGCCGAACTGAAATCTTATCAGAAACATGTTGTTTTCACTGCTTAGAATTTCCTTAAAACCGGTCAAACCGATGTCATTTGGAAATTTTGCACAGTAAATATTTCCAGTTTTTTGGGGTTATTGCATTTCCTCCCCAGTCCCTCAATGTTTTCTGCAGGAGAGAAGCAGAGATTATAAAAATCAAATTAAATTTTATTGGTTGCATACACATATTTAGCAGATGTTATTGCGGGTCTAGCGAAATGCTTGTGTTCCTAGAACTTTACCGATGTCAATTATACTGAACAAAAATATAAACGCACCATGCAACAATTTCTAAGATTTTGCTGCGTTACAGTTCATATAAGGAAATCAGTCAATTGAAATAAATTCATTAGGCCCTATTCACATGACTGGGCAGGGGTGCAGACATAGGTGGGCCTGGGAGGGCTTAGGCCCACCCACTTGGGAGCCAGGCCCACTCACAATGAGATTTTCCCTACAAAAGGGCTTTATTACAGACAGGAATACTCCTCAGCATCTCAGCACCCGACGATCCTGCAGGTGAAGAAGCCGGATGTGGAGGTCCTAGGCTGGCGTGGTTACACACGGTTGAGAGGCTGGTTGGACCTACTGCCAAATTCTCTAAAACGACGTTGGAGGCGGCTTATTGTAGAGAAATTAAATTATCTGGAAACAGCTCTGGTGGACATTTCTGCAGTAAGCATGTCTATTGCAAGTTTCCTGAAAATATGAGACATCTGTGGCATTGTGTTGCGTGACAAAACGGCACATTTTAGAATGGCCTTTTATTGTCCCCAGCACAAGGTGCACCTGTGTAATGATCATGCTGTTTAATCGGCTTCTTGATATACCATACCTGTCAGTTGGATGGATTATCTTGACAAAGGATAAAATCCTCACTAACAGGGATGTAAACAAATTTGTGCACAAAATTTTAGAGAAATAAGCTTTTTGGCGTATGGAACATTTATGGGATCTTTTATTTCAGCTCATGAAACATTGGACCAGCACTTTATATTATATATACTTATATTTTATATTATATATACTTTATACTTATATTTTTGTTCAGTGTAGATTGAAGCATTCATCGATTTATGACATTCTGGTGAGCAAGGGCTTATTTAGTCTTCTATGGCAGTAATGACAGAAGAGAAGCTGCATGTATCTAATTATAGACAAGTTGACTAACAAATAGCCTACCAAAATGTTGGGAATTATAAGCAGGAACATATCTAGGCTTACATTTTTTTATTAAATCTGCACCCCCTGTCAAAAAGATTGTTCCACCTTCTCTGACGCATTTTCTATCAGCCTATTTCCGGGTTAGGGTCTGGTGCGGGACTCAGATTTTCACTATCACATAGTCAGGCGGTTGAGGATGGGTTATTAGCAATTGCGGTCGTGTGAACAAACACGCATCACTAACACACACACATCACTAAGCAGGCACACACGCAGAACACGGAATATGAGGTACACATACACACACACCTTCCCCACACACCTCTAACGCTTCCATGTGTGTGTTTGTGCAGGTGCGCGAGCTGGGTGCTATGGGGGTGATGGCTGTAGAGGTTCCTGAGGAGCTGGGAGGAGCAGGTATGGACTACCTGGCCTATGCTCTGGCCGTGGAGGAGATCAGTAGGGGCTGCGGCAGCACTGGATGTGTGGTCTCGGTCAACAATGTACGTAAGAGTGTGTGTATTAGAAAAGTGTGTTTTATGTTGTCGCTGTATCTAGCACTGATACTAAAGGTGTGTGTGTGTGTGTGTGTAGTCTTTGTACATAGGGCCGATATTGAAGTTTGGAACACAGAAGCAGAAGGAACAGTGGATAACTCCCTTCACGACCGGAGAGAAAGTTGGCTGCTTCGCTCTGAGTGAACCAGGTACACCACAGACGCACACAACACACACTGTGCCCCAGAGCCATCCGTTCACTATTACACTCCAACTCACTGTGTAGGTAATGGTAGTGATGCAGGGGCAGCGTCTACGTTAGCCAGACAGGAGGGAGAGGAGTGGGTGTTGATTCTCTCTCTTTCTCTCCCACCTTCTCTGTGTAGGTAATGGTAGTGATGCAGGGGCAGCGTCTACGTTAGCCAGACAGGAGAGAGAGGAGTGGGTGTTGATTCTCTCTCTTTCTCTCCCACCCTCTCTGTGTAGGTAATGGTAGTGATGCAGGGGCAGCGTCTACGTTAGCCAGACAGGAGAGAGAGGAGTGGGTGTTGATTATCTCTCTTTCTCTCCCACCCTCTCTGTGTAGGTAATGGTAGTGATGCAGGGGCAGCGTCTACGTTAGCCAGACAGGAGGGAGAGGAGTGGGTGTTGATTCTCTCTCTTTCTCTCCCACCCTCTCTGTGTAGGTAATGGTAGTGATGCAGGGGCAGCGTCTACGTTAGCCAGACAGGAGGGAGAGGAGTGGGTGTTGATTCTCTCTCTTTCTCTCCCACCCTCTCTGTGTAGGTAATGGTAGTGATGCAGGGGCAGCGTCTACGTTAGCCAGACAGGAGGGAGAGGAGTGGGTGTTGAACGGGACTAAAGCCTGGATTACCAATTGCTGGGATGCCTCTGCTAGTGTCGTATTCGCCACCACTGACAAGTCACTCAAACACAAGGTTAGATACATCATTGTTGGAGTCGAGCCATAGTTAAACCCCCTCGATTCCTTCTCCATCTCCCCCCTCCCTCTCTCTCACTCATTCTCTCTCTCAGTATTTTGATATTATAATACTTTATCAATGTAACTTATACATGCAATTCAGTGTGTTCTCCCTCCCTCCGTAGGGTATCAGTGCATTCCTGGTGCCCATGCCCCATCCTGGCCTGTCCCTGGGGAAGAAGGAGGATAAGCTGGGCATCAGAGCAACCTCCACTGCCAACCTCATCCTGGAGGACTGTAGGATACCCCTGGGTAACATGCTGGGGCCACGAGGATCTGGCTTCAAGATAGCAATGGTTGGTTTATAGGGGGGAGTGTGGTGTTGGTTGTGTGTGTGTGTGTGCATAGTCCATCTGAGTGATAATGTGCGTCTGTGCATGTCCGTGTGTGTCTGTGTATGTGTGTACCGACCCCCCCCTCTCTCTCTCTCCCATAGCAAACCCTGGACAGTGGGCGTATAGGTATAGCAGCCCAGGCTCTGGGTATTGCTCAGGCTGCTCTGGACTGTGCTGCGGACTACGCTCACAAACGCACCGCCTTCGGCGCTCCCATTGGCAAGCTGCAGGCCGTACAGGTGCGTGTGTGTGTGTGTGTGTGTGTGTGTGTAAATGTTAAGGTGTGTCTGTTATATTAAAGTGGAACTGACAGCGTTTTAACTAATTTGCAGATATGAAACAGGCAATCATAATATCAGTCAAAAATTCCCAGCTACAAAACCAACTTTATAACAGGTTTTAAAAATAGGTTCTATTTGACTCAACATTCCATGATGTACACTAAGGCATTGTTGGCAGAATAGATGGATGCAGTTCGATGCATGATTAATATAATTCAACAATACATTTCTTGGTAGTCCAAAAAATATTGCTATCAGGTTGTAAATCACAGCTGGCCTGGTACATGGTTTGCTGCCTCTGTTCAGGGATGCACTGTTTGTTTCAATGACTCAATGTTTTGGACAAAAATTGACAAATGTAACTAAGGCTGGGAATGTGAATACAATCAAACTAACAAGGGCAATGATCACAAGTCAGTCATATAATGTGGCTAATAGGCTAGTGTATCCATTTATGTAGCAAGCTAAAAACACGGAGCCTAACGTTAGCTAGCTAGCTGCTAGGAGGATGTCATGTTATTGGAGAAGTGACTGACTTTTTCGCCCTCATATCGTTTTTCGGTGTCTATACACAGCTAGAGATGCAGGTGTCATTTGGTTAGCTAGCAAGAACTTGAACAACTGTTATCCAGTTAGCATATCTCTTGCGTTCGCAAATTCACTATGGCTATATACTTTGATTTCAGAGCACTCTCGTCTGAGTGTGCCAGAGCGCAGAATAACTGATGAATTTACGAACACGCAACATCGGCTGAAAATGACCGGTGTCAGTAAGCATAGGCAAAAAAAGTAATAGTTAGTCACGGATGCTGTAGATAACATTTAAACAGCCTAACCAGCTCTGCTAGGGCGGGTAAAATGGTCAGAGTGAGGTGTTCTCTCATTTGTCTTGAAGTAGCAAGCTAGCCAACTTTAGCCAGTTAGCTTGGTTGCAGGCAAGCTGCAGAAGAACGAGCAGGCTACTATTCCCCATCGATTATAAGTATAATTTTGACAGCCAACTAGCTGAAACAGTTTGAGAGAGTTTATCTAATGTGCCTTCGTTAGATTTTAGCTCATCTTGCTCTGGCTAGCATTAGTTGTTGATCTTGTTGTTGTTGTTGATGTGCATAACTGAGGGAGAGAGAGTCTACTTTTTCATGGTTGTTTGATCAAAAGGACTCCAGTGATATTGACATATTTGCATAAATCAATTCAGGTGTATTTTGTGGCTTTTGGCGAATGTGTTCTAATGATCTAAAGACGCGCTGTTGCTACTGCCTGTAAACACACAGTCCAGTGTCATGTTCTTCCTGGGGGTGTATATGAACAGATTTAATAACATTTCATGTTGCTAAAATGTTGTCAGTTCCACTTTAAGGGTGTGTATCTCTATGCTTCAGTTCAAACTGGCAGACATGGCTGTAGCTGTTGAAAGCGCTCGTCTCCTCACCTGGAAGGCTGCAATGCTAAAAGACACCAAGAAACCCTTCACCAAGGTACACACCCCACCATACCACACACACACACACCATCCTCTCTGTCATATTACATAACGTTGTACTTCCTCCTTCCTGTCCCCACAGGAAGCAGCGATGGCCAAACTAGCAGCCTCTGAGGCCGCTACCTTCTGCGGCCACCAGGTACGCATCAGAGAGCCTGTCATGTCCTTATTTCTAGAACTAGTGCCTGAATCAATTAATAATCAATACGGAATTCTAAACCCTTAAAAATGTTGACTTCATTTTCTCTATCTGTGGAACTAAAAGTCGATCCAGGTTCTTGGGGGAATGGGTTACGTGACAGACATGCCAGCAGAGAGGCACTACCGCGACGCGCGGATCACTGAGATCTACGAAGGCACCAGTGAGATCCAGAGACTAGTGATAGCCGGCCAGCTGCTGAAGGAATATGCACCATAGAGACTTGCGATTTAGTCCCAAATGGCCGTCTATTCCCTACATAGTGCACTACTTCTGGACAGACTCCAGTGGCCAAAAGTGGTGTACTATATAGGGAATAGGGTGCCATTTCAGATTGGCTCATAACAGCCACTACACCCAGGGCTGCGTTCAGGACTGCAGTGTTCTACAGTGTTGCACAGTCTCATCAGTGCTGGTCAGCTACTGAACTGGAAGGAATGCCAGGCATGGAGACAGGCTCACACAACTCCGGGTAGAAGTTGCCCTTAACCACAGATCTAGGATCAGATTGCCCAACGCCCAAATCCAAACCTCAACTGTTATGGAGAGAACATCTTTCCCTGGACCAATGGGTAGGGACACCTTCTACCTACCACTCCAAAGGGACACCACCAGGCCTGGGTTCAGGACTGCAGTGGTGTGAAACACTGCAACTTGCATCCCACGTCTGTTGACAACTTTGCAACGATTACTAAACAATCCAAGCTATTTGTTACTTTTGATATCAACATGTAGATATGTATCTTCCTTTCTGCCTTAAAACATTATTATTATCTGCTTTAAACTAATGGTATCTGGTAACATAATATAAGTTAGCGGACTCATGTCCTCATTGTGGATAACCAGGGTGAAGATGACTAGCTCTTTTTTTTCTTTCCAAATCAGGAAACTGTCTTTCATAGTGCCAGAGAAAGGTGCCTCCGTCCTTGGCAGTGATCAGATTGAAATGTATTGTATAGAACTGACATGCGCCTCAGACGAGCATAGTATGGAATCATTTCAGTTCTGGTAATGGCATTTCTGTCTGCAATGTCCAGTATGCGGCTGCACCCTCCTGAGCGTGACCCTGTCGTCTGTGTGAGGTGCAGTGCCTATTCAAGCCACACGAGGGCAGTGTCTGGACTGTCCTGCCTTCACCTGCAACGAGGAAAATCACAACAACAATGTCCCTTTGAACACTTGGAACATGCATTCCTCCCTGTTCTCTTCCTTGGAAATATTTATTCACTGAATTGGGTAGTTTTAAACAAGGATTCTACTGCCTACTGTTGTTGCTTAACCTCATCCTCAGGCTAGGCTGGTGGATGAGACTAGTAGTTAGCTATCACAATGTTGGAATAGGATCAATGATTACTTCAAGCAGGGGGGAGAGATGCATTTTGGAGTTTTTAAACACACACACACACCTCAGAACCTTCCTGCTGTGCCTGGTCTAATGCTGCTCTCCAGGCTGTACATGGAGAATAATATATTATGAGACTGTTATGGAAATGTAAAATGTTATGGAATTGCAACAACTGGGAAGTGGTTTAATGGTTTAACATGTTTTCATCTATGGCTTTTAGTTATTAGGATTATTGCATTGAATGGTAATATCAGGTTTGTGAGTGTGATCTGTTCAGATGAAACTGAATGACGCAGCTATACAGGACATCTTGACTGTCAGAGGTCTAAATGATCAAATGTTGGGTTCGTAGAAAATCTTTTTTTATGAGGATGCACTACATAGCCCATCAAGCTTGTGCCTCAACAAACTGCTGTTGTAATTTATGGTACATAATGAAATTAAAAACACAAGATCACATGATTACTCCCTTGAATCTTTTCATGTTCAATAGTGATGCACTGTGGCTGTTTAGTGACATGGCAATATTTCAGTATTGACCTTGCCAAAGGGCTGGTTTCACATAACCAGGTTAAGCTTATTCAAAGAAAAATCACAGTTTTCTCATCAATTGGTTTTAATTTGCCAAGTGCTTAATTGTAACTATTTAAATCACGAATCAATATATCATCAGCCAGAGTAGGACTTCATTTGACTTGGAATCTATTAGAATCCGAATTTAGTAATTTAGCAGAAATTGGTCCAGAGTGATTCAGAAGTAAATGCATTCTAGGAGCATCGCTAGGACATACAGTAACAGTCAAAAGTTTGGACACACCTACTCATCCAAGGGTTTTTTTTGGTACTATTTTCTACATTGTAGAATAATACACTGCTCAAAAAAATAAAGGGAACACTTAAAACAACACAATGTAACTCCAAGTCAATCACACTTCTGTGAAATCAAACTGTCCACTTAGGAAGCAACACTGATTGACAATACATTTCACATGCTGTTGTGCAAATGGAATAGACAACAGGTGGAAATTATAGGCAATTAGCAAGACCCCCCCCAATAAAGGACTGGTTTTGCAGGTGGTGACCACAGACCACTTCTCAGTTCCTATGCTTCCTGGCTGATGTTTTGGTCACTTTTGAATGCTGGCGGTGCTTTCACTCTAGTGGTAGCATGTGTCTGTCAGCGTAGTGTCCAGAGCATGGAGGCGCTACCAGGAGACAGGCCAGTACATCAGGAGACGTGGAGGAGGCCGTAGGAGGGCAACAACCCAGCAGCAGGACTGCTACCTCCGCCTTTGTGCAAGGAGGAGCAGGAGGAGCACTGCCAGAGCCCTGCAAAATGACCTCCAGCAGGCCACAAATGTGCATGTGTCTGCTCAAACGGTCAGAAACAGACTCCATGAAGGTGGTATGAGGGCCCGACGTCCACAGGTGGGGGTTGTGCTTACAGCCCAACACTGTGCATGACGTTTGGCATTTGTCAGAGAACACCAAGATTGGCATATTCGCCACTGGCGCCCTGTGCTCTTCACAGATGAAAGCAGGTTCACACTGAGCACATGTGACAGACGTGACAGAGTCTGGAGACGCCGTGGAGAACGTTATGAGAACATATGCTGGTGCGGATGGCCCTGGGTTCCTCCTAATGCAAGACAATGCTAGACCTCATGTGGCTGGAGTGTGTCAGCAGTTCCTGCAAGAGGAAGGCATTGATGCTATGGACCGCCCGTTCCCCAGACCTGAATCCAATTGAGCACATCTGGGACATCATGTCTCGCTCCATCCACCAACGCCACGTTGCACCACAGACTGTCCAGGAGTTGGCGGATGCTTTAGTCCAGGTCTGGGAGGAGATCCCTCAGGAGACCATCCGCCACCTCATCAGGAGCATGCCCAGGCGTTGTAGGGAGGTCATACAGTCACGTGGAGGCCACACACACTACTGAGCCTCATTTTTACTTGTTTTAAGGACATTACATCAATGTTGGATCAGCCTGTAGTGTGGTTTTCCACTTTAATTTTGAGGGTGACTCCAAATCCAGACCTCCATGCGTTGATAAATTTGATTTCCAATGATAATTTCTGTGTGATTTTGTTGTCAGCACATTCAACTATGTAAATAAAAAAGTAATAAGATTATTTAATTCATTCAGATCTAGGATGTGTTATTTTAGTGTTCCCTTTATAGCCACCCTTTGCCTTGATGACAGCTTTGCACACTCTTGGTATTCTCTCAACCAGCTTCACCTGGAATGCTTTTCCAACAGTATTGAAGGAGTTCCCACATATGCTGAGCACTTGTTTGCTGCTTTTCCTTCACTCTGCGGTCCAACTCATCCCAAACCATCTCAATTGGGTTGAGGTCGGGTGATTGTGGAGGCCAGGTCATCTGATGCAGCACTCCATCACTCTGCTCCTTGGTCAAATAGCCCTTACACAGCCTGGAGGTGTGTTTTGGGTCATTGTCCTGTTGAAAAACAAATGATAGTCCCACTAAGCGCAAACTAGATGGGATGGCGTATCGCTGCAGAATGCTGTGGTAGCCATGCTGGTTAAGTGTGCCTTGAATTCTAAATAAATTACATTTACATTTACATTTTAGTCATTTAGCAGACGCTCTTATCCAGAGCGACTTACAGGAGCAATTAGGGTTAAGTGCCTTGTTCAAGGGCACATTTACGTCATTTAGCAGACGCTCTTATCCAGAGCGACTACAAATTGGTGCATTCACCCTATAGCCAGTGGGATAACCACTTTACAATTATACTTTTTTTTTTTTTTTTTTTTGGGGGGGGGGGGGGGGGTAGAAGGATTACTTTATCCTATCCCAGGTGTTCCTTAAAGAGGTGGGGTTTCAAATGTCTCCGGAAGGTGGTGAGTGACTCCGCTGTCCTGGCGTCGTGAGGGAGCTTGTTCCACCATTGGGGTGCCAGAGCAGCGAACAGCTTTGACTGGGCTGAGCGGGAACTATGCTTCCGCAGAGGAAGGGGAGCCAGCAGGCCAGAGGTGGATGAACGCAATGCCCTCGCCTGGGTGTAGGGACTGATCAGAGCCTGAAGGTACGGAGGTGCCGTTCCCCTCACTGCTCCATAGGCAAGCACCATGGTCTTGTAACGGATGCGAGCTTCAACTGGAAGCCAGTGGAGTGTGCGGAGGAGGGGGGTGACGTGAGAGAACTTGGGAAGGTTGAACACCAGACGGGCTGCGGCATTCTGGATGAGTTGTAGGGGTTTAATGGCACAGGCAGGGAGCCCAGCCAACAGCGAGTTGCAGTAATCCAGACGGGAGATGACAAGTGCCTGGATTAGGACCTGTGCCGCTTCCTGTGTAAGGCAGGGTCGTACTCTCCGAATGTTGTAGAGCATGAACCTGCAGGATCGGGTCACCGCCTTGATGTTGGCGGAGAACGACAGGGTGTTGTCCAGGATCACGCCAAGGCTCTTCGCACTCTGGGAGGAGGACACAACGGAGTTGTCAACCGTGATGGCGAGATCATGGAACGGGCAGTCCTTCCCCGGGAGGAAGAGCAGCTCCGTCTTGCCAGGGTTCTGCTTGAGGTGGTGATCCGTCATCCATACTGATATGTCGGCCAGACATGCAGAGATGCGATTCGCCACCTGGTTATCAGAAGGGGGAAAGCTAAATCACAGACAGTGTCACCAGCAAAGCACCCTCACACCATCACACCTCCTCCTCCATGCTTCACAGTGGGAACCACACATGCAGAGATCATCCGTTCACCTACTCTGCATCTCACAAAGACACATACATCTCAAATTTGGACTCATCAGATGAAAGGACAGATTTCCACCGGTCTGATGTCCATTTCTTGTGTTTCTTGGCCCAAGCAAGTCTCTTCTTATTATTGGTGTCCTTTAGTAGTGGTTTCTTTGCAGCAATTCGACCATGAAGGCCTGATTCACGCAGTCT